AGATACAACTCACCATAACCAAGTTTATGCCAAACTGGGAAAAAAGGTAATAACCATGGTTTAGTGTTAAGAAGAACTTCAGCTTTAAAAAAAAACATTTTTTGTGTTTATCTACTAAATATTGGATTTTTTTGTTAAGGTTGAAGGAGTGTTGTGTGATGGAGCCTCCCCAGAAAATATCGCATCTACTGTGGTTGACTGCACCAAGATTGAAACTGGACAAATTGGTTTCTTCAGAGTGGGCCTCATTCCAAAATCCAAGGTAATAAATATACCATTGCTCCTGTCCTCTTAATGTAGATGAAACAGTTTTATTTTTTTGTTATGTTTTCTAATGCTGATGTCTTTCATTTTCCTCTAACCCTTAGGTTCTCCAAATATTTGAAGAGGTTCGAAATCGGCACAGACAAGGGCATACCAATCCAGGATTTGAATATGATGTTCCCCTTTAAGACATACAAAGACATCAAAGTCCAACAGGCACAACAGTGTCAAAAAGAGGACCAGGAAACTTAAAAGTATAGTTATACAACCACAGAGTCAAGAAGTCAGGAAATGCCTCATAATAGCCCCTTTTAGTGCTGCTCATAGTGGTGGCTACTGATCAAGACTCTGATAAACAGAAATAGCTGCTAAATTACCCAAAGAAATGTTGTATAGTGTCCAATGATGTATAATATTAACAGACAACATAAGTAGTTTATGTTGTCTGGAGCACTGAATGTAAATTTTGTACTGAATGTACTGAATGTAAATTTTTATGCTTTTTGTGACATTTTTAACTCTGTTTAGGTGTTGTGATGTATAGATAAAATGTCTGTTATATTATACATATACAGTATATTTAAATAATTCAGGTTTTGTTGCTTCAAACTATACATATGTGCTTTACTCAGTTGTTGAAAATATTGTTCAAACATTTTGTATGCTGTGAAATATGCCTGATTGGATTTATAGTTGCTAAAATAACTGCAAATAAATTAAGCAAAAAAACAGAAAAAAAAAAAAGGGGCTTCCCAATAAGCACAGTAGCAACACTGTAAATGCATGTTATAACATTTTTTATGTTTTAGTGAGTGATCATTTAATGTTTCAGTAAATGAGCATGTAATGTTTGAGTGATCATTTATTGTAACACATTTTTAAGAATTCATTTTGTGTCATATTTCCATAAAAAAAAATTTAAAAGCCAATAGTGAGTAGTTGGTATATCTAAACTAAACTAGATATACCAACTACATTGTCTACATTTGCATAAATGTAGACAAAATATCACATTGTTCATAATTGCAGCTTTGATCCACTATATCAGATTATTCCAGAAAACCTTCACCCATCTTCAGATTATCAGGTGCTTGAGGAGATAACCAGGTCCTTAAAATATATCTGTTGTGTAATTTCCATCACCATAAAATATTACATAAGAAAAGACAGAAAGAGACTATATTTTTGGGATAAACAAAAAAGTTTCATTCCTGTAAAAACGGCATTTAGTTCAAAACCTTTAGACAAAAAACAAAAACAAAAAACAAAAAAAAATCAGCTGCAATGTCATGTAATATGAGAAGGTTGTATCATGTATCGGGGCGGACTGGGGAGAAAAGTTCCTGACAGACTGCCCGTGTGTGTGTGTGTGTGGGTGTGTGTGTGTGTGTGTGTGTGTGTGCGTGTGTATAGGTGCGTGCGTGCGTGCGTGCGTGCGTGCGTGCGTGCGTGCGTGTGTGTGTGTGTGTGTATAAAGTGGCCAGTATAATTTAAGAATCTAACTGTAAAACTACTATCTGAGCTTTCTGTCCTCTGGCTGTCTATTGACCAGTCTGGGTCATTGTCTCCCATTTTCTATGCAAGAATTGCCAATTGTCCTTGAATAGAATATGGAAGAAGAATTTTTTCCATATTCTGTGCAGGGTTCATGTTAGCATTCTCACCTCCCCACAGCATATTATTGGTGTGCAATAATATGCGAGACCCATAACAACAAAAACATTTTGAAGCTAGACAAATAAAACAGTGCTGACCTCGCCAAATCTGCAATGAGCAACATCAACCATGTTTGGTGGAGAGAGCAGGCCTAGGACCACCAAACAGAAATTTTCACAGTTGTTGCTACATTTTTCTGGAGGGCTTTCAATTTTATTTCTCAATATTTTAGCAGCAACTTTTGGTTTTGTAGTTTTCTTTTGCAAATAATATTGTTTATTATTATTTGCAAATAAGTAAGTGTTGCTTATAGTGTCAGTGATTGACAGGTAATGTTCCAAGAAGGAATGAGATGACGACAAGCTGGCCAAAAGCAAAGCTAAACGTATTAGCTGCTTAAGGCCCCCAGAACTATAAATGCTTGAGTTTTAGCCCATACCATGGATCTAGAATTTTAACATTAATTAAATGATAATGACAATGCTATTAAGTCTGATTTAATAGTTTCAGCATAGATAAATGAAAAGATTTAAATGTAAAATTTAACTGGCACCTTTACAAAGTTTACTTTGTAAAGGTGCAAAGAATCATCTTCATAGTTTGATTGTTGTATTGCCATAATTATAGTCTGATGCTATCAGTAATATTTGTATTTGAACTCAGTTTTATAAATACATGTCGGTAAATAATAACCAGCTGTCAGTCATTGCTTTTTAGCTCAGCCAATTAAACTGGGTTCCCTCTCCAAGACTTCACTACATTTATATAAAAACCCTGTTGGTGATGGTGATGCTCTTTACTGGAAGATGGGCCCTAAATCACATCCTGCCTAAGGACCGAACACGACAGCTCCTCCCCATGGTACCAGCCCATTAACTCACCGGCCCACCAGGGAATTCGCTGGTAGAAGTCCAGTCTGGTGACATACAGACAAAAGTCATATGATCTCATTCAACCTATTGATCAATAACTGATGAGACTTTAACATCACAATTGGTGAGTTCAGGTCACAGTTTCTTATTGTTAAATCTTAAACTCTGACCAAAACTGTGCAAATGAGGTCTCTGTTCTGGGATGTTTCCTGGATGAATTGTCATTGTGCTTCAGGAGTAAATTTGGTTGACCACGCTGGAGGGCTCATCACTGCTGCACGTTGTGTAAAACTGAGCTCAGCTTTCCAAAATCTAAATTTTAATCAAAGTTAATTTATGTTTTAGCTATGAGAGGAATGACTTTATTTTCAGGGCCAGGTCAGTTTGGATACCTTACAGAATAAAATTCTCATTTAAAAACTGCTTTTCTGTTTACTTGGGTCATTTTTATCCAAAGTAAAATTTGTTTAATAATCTGAAACATATAAATGCTACAAAAACAAAAGAAATATGTAAGATGGGAATCAATTCTTCACAAACCTGTATTCACATCTTACATTCAATTCAACTCAGTTTTTATGTATATGTTGCCAATTCACAACAAATGTCATTTCAAGACACTCAGAAAAAAAATGATTTAAATCCAATCATAGATTCCAATTCATTCTAGTTATGAAACAATGCATCAAGTTCAGTTGATTTTTCAAATTAGTTTAACAAACTTTTTCTGTCCAAGCAATCCCAGCAGATTGCATTGAGTCAGTGACTTTACAGCAATCCCTCATACTGAGTACTTTCTCTGTTAATGAAAACCAGAAAGTTAATAGCAGAATAAAGAGAACATTGAGTTGTTGACAGCATTATATCAACCGAAGCCACCTGCCAGAAAGGTAACACAGCAAAGCAGAATGCAAGATCTGATGTGGCTTCAATGAAAAAAAAAATCATAAATACCTACTGGTTAAAACTTTGTAACAGAACAATCACATTATTCAATACATTATTCTTTACTGACAGATAACTCAACAAGTGTCATGTTTTCTTAGCTCATCCAAGAATGTGAGAATGCTCCACAAAAATAAACTCGCTCACTTGACAACCCACCTGTGAGAGGTTCAGGCCAATTTGGCTAATGGTGACTGGGCTCTGAGGCGTTTACTGCACGACACACACAATTAAGCGAAACTCAGCCAGATCCAATTTTTTTTTTGCCTTACTAATCATCAGTATTATTAATGTGCATGATCATTCACCAGCATGTCAACTAAATGATTAGATAAACAACAACTAACAACTGGGTGGCAGAGGTTTTTGTTGGCTTAAGTGTGATATGAAATAGATAAAATACCATAAAATTTATGGTACCAGACAGTAGATTTATGGTACTGTCTGGTACCATAAATTTATGGTACCATAAATTTATGGTACCATAAATTTATGGTACTAATTTATGGTACCATAAATTGGTACCTAAAACAACAATCCTAAAACTGTTGTTTTAGGATTGTTGAAACCATCCAAACAGTTTGAGTTGGAAAATGTATTTTTGATCATAATTACTTCAAGTTGCTGGAATGCTTCATCACTTGAGAAACCTCTGGATTATTCCTAATAGATGCATGACTTTAGACAGGGTGGAGGAGGCCCCTATTGATGTTTAAAGAATCAAAAGGAAACACAGTGTTTTATCAGCTGCAGTAAAATTTCACAGAGTTCCAGCTTTAGGTGGCATTAAGCAAACCGAAACCTAAACTTTTTACTCAGGCAACGCCATAAAAACATGCTTCATGATTATGTGAGTATCAGTCTGAAAAACAGTCCCTGAGTGTTAACGTTTTGTGTTCAGCAGTCCCACCTAACATATAAGTGAGCAATTACCAGGAAGGAAACTGAAAAACCCCTTCCACCCAAAGCTTTGAAAAAACCGACGGTGTATGTTAGACTGAAAGATGTGCTTTGTAAACTGACCAACATGTGGTTTCTTATTACTTTTAGAGCAGAAGGATAAAGAGGTCCACACCCAATGACACAAACTTTAGTACCCAAGAAATAAGTTCTGGAGAATCTGAGAGCAATAGGTTCATTTCTTCCTGTTCCACTTTTTGCAGAAGTTTTCTTTCTCTTTCTTCTTTTAGCTTTAATTTCTTTCAGAAAGTCAGTCAAAATATATTTGAGCCTGGAAAAGTTTTCATTAGCTCATCATTATTCGACTGAACAGATTGAACATAAAGAGCAAATAAATTAATATGAAAAACGTAACCACGTTTTCTAAGCAAAACGAAACCAGTCCAGTTTTATTTAGAAAGCTCTTCACATTACAAGGACAAAATATCTGTAGAGAATACATGGGCAGATTAAAAGTATGAATGAAATAAACAGGGAAATTCCACTGAATGTATTTGCCCATGTTGGCAGATGAGGAAGAGGTTATACTGTTGTATAACTGTGGATGTTTTTCTTTTTATTAGTTTGATCCTTATCTGTTTTAGCCAAAAGAAGTATATCACAATGTAGATTTTCAATATCCAACCTATTGTGTGAACTTATAACACTGAGATGTTAAAAGTCCACATGTTGGGGGATTTTCAACTACATTATATTTAGACATCCTGTTTTAATGAGCAAACTTTGATTCATTGCAACCTCCCACTCATCTCTATACTAAAATAGATAACTGTTTTGATTATATTAAAAAAATGTCCTTATTTCCCTTAATTCTTCTGTGTAATACACACACCACATGCACTCATATATACTACATCATTAAGGGGGAATTTTTCTGCCATAATCCAAGAGCACATATTTTCAGTCTGAAAATATGTGAAGAAAATATGATTTCTTCTCTAAACTTGTAATGATTGCACTCAAACTTTTCCTCGCGCTCACACTTAGCCTCTGCTCGGAGCAAATCTTCACTTGCAAAACTCTCCGCTCGCTTGGTGGAATTTTTCTCTGCGCGCTTACAAAAATGGAACCACCTTTTGGCAGAGTCGCCTAGCAACCTCTCAGCCAACAGGATGAAAGCGTTGTACTGGGTGTGTTTGTTTCCTTCTAGCGGGAGTGCCTGTGTAGCTGATGACAACCTCTCAGCCAAAAGTCGTTTCCAAAAGTGAGCAGAGATTCCGAGCGGCGACTAAGTGTAAGAAGAAGGAGAAGTTTTGAGTACAAGCATTAAAGTTTTGAGAAGAAAGAT